CTCAGCAAACAGCAAGTCATCCACACTCGGGATTCGGCGAACAGTCGTTCACTACTCGTCGAATATTGAATATATGGAGTCGTCTTTTGACTGCAGCAGGACAGGAACAGGTAAACCGTGTATGATTAGTTGCCTACCAATCAGGGGTACATGTCACTAGTTTACCTTTGTTGTATGAAATTTGTCACCGCATATTCATTAGCAGAATTCGGAAATCGTCGACTTATCTACATGATATGAACGTTTATAACACTTATTCTGAGACACCCTGCAACGTGAACTTTTTTTAAAGACGGTGTTGCACTACAATTTCGTACGTAGAATTTGTTACGAATTGATACAGTTTCTTGCTAAAATTAATATTTGTGAATCGCACGATTTCTTACAAGTCAACAACGATTCCAATCTATAGCCCCTCACATCTATTTTAGCATCTCACTGCATTTTTAAGGGACTTCAAAAGATCTTAACTATTCAAATTTCTTACCATATACTATTCATATGAAATGGTAGTACATATAAGGAGGATTTAAGCATTAGAAATTTAACGCGAAGAGGAACTTACACATTTACCTCGAAATGTCATGAACTTCTAGGGCATACAGGTCTAAAATTAACACTTAAACAATGGGGAAATAGAATGTGATTGAATTACAGCTATACGCGTATATATTTGCCCCTGATTTCATAGCAACCGCCTAAGTACAGATACATACAGTATGAACATAATATTTCATTAAATGCATCAAACGTGACCTGCTATACATATCTGCATTAGAAGTTGCCTAACAATCAGGGGCAAGTGTCAAATTTATAAATGCATATACTCTGTTATATAAAATTTCATACTGAATATTCATTGGCAAAAAGTGATCATTTTCGATTCCTCCACACGCCCCTGGAAGTTTGTAACTGATTCTGGGGCATTTGACTAAAACACTCTTACATTTACCTGATGAGAGAGTATTATTTACGTTCCTTGGCAAAAAGTGCTCATCTTCGACGTGACCTGGAGAAGTTTGTAACATTTATCCCGTGAAATCGCGCAGGCGCGGTAAAGAAAAAAAAGAAGCTTCGATCACCTCCTGCATCTTGCGCACGACGCGCATCCCGCGCCCGCCGCCGCCGAAGGCCGCCTTGAAGATGACGGGCAGCCCGTGCTTCTGGCAGAAGGCCATCGCCTCCTCCGAGGTACGGATGGGCCCCGGGGTTCCAGGCACCACCGCAACCCCTGCGGAAAAGCCAATCGCAGCTCGTTACTCTGTTGCATCTCGGCAATCTAAGGGCTAACCCACATTGCTTGTGGAATTGAGGGATTAGCATTAAATACGACTTCAAATATTATTCACATAGCGTAATGCGATTTTTAAATCTCGTATGGACTTAGTGTACTACGTTTACAAATTTAAAATGTGCTGGTTTTATCATGAAAGTTCTAGTAAAAGCCTCAATAACTCGAAACTTTGTCAATGTGGGATAGCTCCTCCTCCTACTACTACTGACCGCTTCAATTCTGTTTCTTAGTACTAATTTTATTTTTAAAACACATATTTCTATTTAATTTCAAATGGGTAAGGGTATGGGCGAGTGGTCGCGTAAGCGCGGGAGAGCGTGGGCGAGGGCAAGCATACTTCGTTTCGTTTTCATTACCATTATTTTTGTACACATTTCCCACGTTTTCACACTACATATTTTTCAGCGTCTGTAATCGCCAAGCAATTCTGAAGCGATGAATAGAGGTGACAGTGCGAAGGGCGAGTGGCCACCTATTCTCGCGACCAAGCGCCGTCTAGCTGTCAGACTGCTAAGAATTGTTAAACGCGCCGTCCTCGCATTAGAAATAGACGAATTCTTTTACAAACTGACGGGAAAGGTGTGTGCGTGTGAAGTCGTTTTCGACCTCTATTATTTTTTAAAAACGCTTGGTTTATCTTTAATTTTTTTGAATATATTTTGTGAAATAATTTTAAATATTGTAAATGCGTTTTATGAATTAATGTAATATTATTATTAATTATAATTATTATATTATAAAATTATAAATTAATGTAATATTATTAAAAATTATAATTAATGTAATATTATTAAAATATAATTAATGTAATATTATTAAAAATTTTATAATAATTGTAATATTATTATAATTATAATCAATGGTAATATTATTATAATTATAATCAATTGCTAATAATTATCTTATAATTAATTAATCAATGTAATATTATTATAATTATAATCAATGTAATATATTATAATTATAATTAATGTAATTATTATTTAAAATTATAATGAAGCAACATTACAATATTTGATGTGATTGATATATCCTTATTTTTTCATTAACTTCATTTTCTGCTACACTGTTTCATACTACACATTTTTGCCGGTCTATGAGTCATAAGCAATTCTGAAGCGGGTGCAGAGATGTGACAATTGCGAAGGCCGAAGTGGCCGCCTTTCTCGCGTCCAAGCGCTGTCGAGCTGCCAGGACTGTACGAAACTGCTGAAAACTGGCGGTCCTTCGATAGCAAACAGACGAAGCTATTTACAAACTGGACGCCTAAGTTATTGCGATGCATAGTGCGCATCGGACTTGTTGAATCAAATGTTTTTTACATTTTTTTTAATTAATGCTAATTTCTTAATTATGTAAAATGCGTTTTATAATTAATGGGAAGATAATAATAAATAATAATAATAAAAATAATAATAAATAATAAAAAAATAATTAAAATATAAAAAAATAATAAAATAATAATAAAAAATAAGAAAAATAATAATAAAAAAATAATAAAAATAATAATTTAAAAAAATAATAAAATAATAATAAAAAAAATAATAATTAAAATTAATAATAATAATATAAAAACAATAATAATAATTTAAAAACAATAATATAATTAAAAAAACAATAATAAAATAAAAACAACATAATAATAAAAACAATAATGGAATATAATAATAAAAAAACAATAATAAAAATAATAATAAAATGAATAATTAAAAATAATTAATAATAAATAATAAATAATTAATAAATAATAGTAAAGAATAATATTATAATTAATGTAGTATTACTTATTTGTATCTTATTTTAGATATTCTTATTGTTTCATTTTCAGTATTTCGTACACCGTTTCGTACTACACGTCTTTCGCGCCCACTCAGTCGTTACTCCTTTGCGATGCGCCACGATCTCCGGGATGTTGAGGTAGGCCTGCACGGGCGGCAGCCGCGCCCCCACCATGGTACGGACTCGTCCGCCTTCTGGCGGGCATGTGCATCTTGTCCTGCTCCGAGTAGATGGGCCACCGACCGATGACCCAGCTTCCGTGCACGCGCGTGAACACGCGGAATGGCGATCTCGCTGCGCACAATACACGCACATTTGAAGAAGGAGAAAAACACAAAAAGAATAAAAATAAGAATAAGAAGAAAAGAAAGAGGAAAAAAATAAAAAGAATAGAAAAAAAATCATTGGCTACTGTTTACAGTGTCCCTCAAACAAGTACAGCGTTTGCCTCATTTAGATTCTTGCGTTAATAAGCTAAAATAGGTGTTTGTCATCATTGTTAATCAGGGGTAATGCAGCATGGGTATTCTAGAACACATTACTTGTTAAATGTGATTGTTAAATATACATATATATATATATATATATATATATATATTGTATTAATTTATATTTATAAGTAAAAGATACACTGCCGCAACAAATGAAAATGGCAGAAAAATACCACACATTGAAGGGTGGAGGGGAGAGAAATGAAATTCATTGGCTACTGTTTAAAGTGTCCCTCGTAAGTACCGGTTTGCCTCTTTTCGATTCTCCCTGCCGTAAGAAATAAATCACTGCTTAATTCAGGGTAATGTAGATTGGTATCTAGAAAAAAATTATTACTTGTAATAGGATTGTATTGCGAAAAATGTATTAGTGACACATACATACTATTATATATATAATAGGTTTTATAGTTTTAAATAATACATTTTTTCAAAATTGTCAATTCTCCGTTGATTTCGCGGCATAGTAGAAGTATAGAGGAATGATTACCTCCTTAGTCGATGGTTAGCAAGTACGTACACGAGGTGAATGATGAGTGATAGGAACCCAAATCCGATTGTCCATTTTGCCTTTTAAAAATAAGCAAATATTTTTTTGAAATCCATTCGTGGCCCAAAAACTATCCCGTCTTTCTGTATTCAAAATGCCAACTTGCTACGTGCTTACGCGAGGATTACCAGAATTAAGAAATCGCGGCACAACACACACTTCTCCTCGTAGCACGTCCACACGATATCTGATTTTGACGTTAAGTAAATAAATTGTGAGGGCATTTCGACAGTTTGCGTGCCAGGAGCTTCCTCAGGACAAACTGTGACGGAGGTGGACTACGCACAGCGTTCTAAAGAATGGATTTCGCCCTGAGAAGGTGCCAGTATCGGCGACCGAAACGCTGACCACTGACTAGGGCGCGGCTTTCTCCCGGGGCAAAACCGAGTATCTGTTGCCTCCTTGCGGTCGGAAACCTACTTCTCGGTAGTGACCGACCGATGACTAGTTTTCTGAAACACGCGTTAACTGCTAATGTCATTAGCCCGCGAACGTATAATGAAATCTTGGAAGATGCGCCGGCCTACGGCTACTAGGAATTATACTTGGCAGACAGCGGGACTGAATTCGAACCTATCTAGTAGATGCGACTAGGTATTTGTAGTTAGTATTCGGAAAAATCCTGTCTCAGGGCGAACTAGAAACCATAGGGACCTTCCCCATGTCACATGTATTGCGGCGATAATCAGTTTAGGGCCCTTAATTCGACCTAAGTCGGGCACGTGACTATCGGTGCATCATCGCTTCGTGGCGCTGAACTCGCATACTCTCCCCTTGTGGCTTACCTCTGTTTGAGCGCAAGCAGCACCACCGGCATGGACCGGTACTCGACTGCATCCTTCCGGAAGCAGACGGACCACTAGCATTATCTCGGCAGATAGCTACTGGAATTCCACCTAGCTATGTAGCTGACCTAGGCTATGTAGCTAGTAACGAAAATCCTGCCTCAGTCGCGGACTAGAACTATAGGACCGCCCTGTCAGCAGGTACTGCGGCGATATCCGTCAGGGCCCCTGATCCTTTTAAAGCCGGTCCACGTGACTATCAGTTGCATATCGTCGCTATCGGTGCG